ATCATGAATATCGATAGTAGCTTTAGTCTCAATGCTAAATACAGCAGAGACTTTTCATTGTCAAAAAATATAAAAAAACAAATGGTATTAATACTTGTATAATGTCTTTATTAATACTGTTTATTTTTTTATAAAAACATGAATTATTTTAACAACATATAAGAAGGTAATAATACAAGACATTTTAATAAATGCATTTCCTATTGCAGTTTATTCTATAAATCAGATGAGAAATTTTGAAATTAAGCATTCTTCTTCTTTGTTTTTATATACATATGTATGAATGAATCAACTTTCGTGCTTTTCATCAGCATTTAATGAGTTAACTCGAAATTAGTCATCAAGCTTGTAAGTCTAATTCTTGTTGTTAAAGTCAAGTGTTATTTGTAATATATAAATTTTACTGTTGGTAAATAATCCATTTCGTAAGAATCTCCAATATGAAGTATATTTAAGATAGAATTTAGAGTCATGAAAAATTATTATTTTTAATCTCATTTAAGTGAATGAAATGAAAAATTCTATCATTTTTAATCGAGAAATAACTAAAGACTAAAAAAAAAATGTAATTGTCTATAAGTATCATAGAATTCAATGAAGAGATGTTAGTAATATATTTTTATGCAGATATAATTTAATGATTATCTATTGTGTGTATCTTTTTGCTGTGAATTCGCAAAAAAGAAAGATATCGGAGTATCGACTAAAATCGTAGTAGATATCATTCCTTTTAATAGACAGTTGTATATCTAACACCTAAATCTCTTCTATCATCTATTCATCCTTCCATTTCCTATTATGTTCATTTGGCATCGTAAATATACATATATATATAAAAGAACAAAAAATATAAGAAAAATGTAAAGTGGTATGAGTGTGTGGAAGATTTCAGTCGTGCAATTTCACAGATACTTATATATACATATGTACGACATGCTATCTTCAAGATAATAGAGATCGATGTTTAATACAATAAGAAAAATATTAATTATGTACATATGAAATGCTGTTTTATTATTGTTGCTCTATTGTTTAAGTATTATCGTTAATAATATATTGCATAAATAATGTAGCTGAGAAATTCGTCTTATTTAACCTACATTTTAGTTTTAAAAATATCTTCATTTGATTTTCAAATAATTGAATTCGAAGTATTCAGATAAGCTGCCTTCTCGATACATTGAAAATTTTTTTTTGAATGCTAATAGATAGATGCTATTGAACGCTAATAGATAGACTTGTAATTCGTTTGTCGCTTTCATTGTAAGAAGTTATTGAAACATTAAAATATAAACTTTAAAATTATTTTAAAGTGTATTGAAAATTTTGCAAACACACGTTTTAAATTATGGTACGTTGTTACTTATTTCACTTACAACGATATGTATTAATATACAATTACTCATATTGACTCAAAAATATTTCAATACTTGTAGGATTAAATTGGTAAAATCTGAAACCAGTCCGAGAATATATACAAAAGTTACACCACGTATTTTACATTGTAGAAGTAAATGATCAATTATTTATTGTCGTTTAAATTAAATCTCCCGTAATTAGTTTCATGTTCTGTCTCCTAGTAGCAAGAGTGATATAATAGTAACGTGTATTTATATTTATAAGCAATGTTTATAAGTCGATTTAAAATTTTAAAAGTTGCCGCTGCGACGAATATCGCGAATCGCTAGATTGCCGACCGAAGTCGATAACGGCGAGTTACGACGTTCATTGTGATGCGGCGCTGTTGTCGTAAACGTGGCGAGGCACGCGCTGCGTCAGTATTCCGCGAGCTTCCATCGTGTTCTGTTGCAGTTAATCGTCAGGAAGCGGGCTATCCTGTTCAACAGTGAACTGCGGAGTACGAGAAAGTGTCTTTTCGTCGGAACTGAGGAAGAATGGCGGACGACAGCCACGAGAACGGCACGAGCAACGGCGACGTCCCCGAGATCGAGTTGATCATCAAGGTGAGTTTATACCACGCGTGGAGCGAAGACGAGGAAGAAGGAAGAGATAGAGGAAAAAGGCGATCGTTTCGTGCACGATATGGGCGTGGAACGAACGACTGGTTTTCTTCCTGTCGACTTTCTTCTTCTTCCTTTCGATATTTCTTCTTTCTCTTCGTCTTCCATCCGGCGGCGAAACGACCGTCCCTGACAAAGATACATAGCGCGCATCGTTTATCATACCGAAAATAGAAAAGCTGCTTCTGCTGACCGTTTGTGAGTAGCGTCGAACCCATTCGTTCTCTTTCGTCTTTGTTTTTCTTATCCTTTCTGCGATTCGGTCGGTCGATCAATCCGTTGATCGATCGGACGTCGATGTCAGAATCGATCCCGGTGACAATGAGTCGAACTTTGATACGTTGCTCGAACATGGTGGCGGAGCACGAAAGGCGTTGCTCCAAAGCTTTTTTCATATTCGTCGATGACTAATTGCAAGCACAAGGAGCATCCGACGAATGTATCTGTATACATACGGAACACCATTTCTTATGGAGGAAAGCGATATAACGCTGCTCGAAGAAACACACACGTACGTACTTGTAGACAGGGATTCTGGTTGGCCGCGTTTTCTACGTCATTGGCTCTTCTGTAGAAGAAAGAAACCCTTGACTCTTATCTCTTGCATGCGAGATATATTTTCACGATAATGCATTTCTTTTTTTTTTCTTGTTTCCTTTTTTTAGCTGGTTTGCTTTTACTTTGGCGGACCGAGCGTTCCTTACTCCCCATCTCTTTCTTTTTTCCCGCCTTCGAAAATGCAAGCAAGATATCGTAGCGAGCACGACGACGCATTTACATGGGCCGTATATTAATTTAACGAGATTAGAAGCATTTATACATACCGTCAACGCTATACAGAGGATAAGAAAAAAGAAAAGAAACAGCCAGAAGGTTCCACTCTGTTCTTACACTAATTAATGGACAGAGTATGCCGCGAAAATCAAAAATCTTTGCTTTGCGACTTTTGTATGCAATGTTACGTTCTAAAGATCTAATGACCTAAATTAATCGATCTATCTACAATCACTAATCCTTTTTTGGTTTCTATTGCATCGTAAGTATTATCTACAAATGAGATATATTTTGAAACACGAATTTTTTTTTTTCTTTTCTTTTTCTTCAATATAGGTATCGACCTATAGTCGCGCAGCGTTCGATTCCAATCGAGAACGAACTCGATTCCATTTCTCGGAACGCTCTTTCACCATATTTTCTGGGAAAACATCTCCTTAGAGGGAAAGAGGCTTCCATCGATTGTCCAATTACGAGTCGTCGATTAAACTTTCGCCAGTTGGGTCGGTTGAATCCGGCCTCGGACTTGCTTTACCTCTGTACGTCGTTCCTAATCGTGCGTTGGCTATTTCAGGCAATGTCAAACGCGCTAATCTTATCTCATCTACTCGTTTGGCAGTGTGACGCGTGTTTCCTCATAAATAGCTCTCTTTCGCATCGTTGCTGGGATTCTAACATATAAATAAATAATTAGGTAAATATACGGAAATTTATTATTTCGTCAAATATGTACGTCTTACGAGATCATTCAAATTTTTATTGAAGGATCAATTCACGTCTTTTTGGAACTGTTATTTCGAGTTTGAGAACAGCTTGAAAGTTTTCATGAGTTCAAACTAGTTTGAAAGTATCCTATGGAAGTAAGTATTACACTGTTCTTCAGATGTTTTAGATTAGATACGAAGAGATCAAAGTTTTGAGTTTAAAGGGATTCGGTCGTTGATATCAGATTTTAAGCGCTCAAGGTGCCCTTAACCTATTAATCGGATTAAGTCTATAATTAAATTTATGATCACAAAATCAAGAAGAAACAAATCAATCTTTGATATTTACGAATTAGGTAGAATTTATTTTCAACTGAGATGAAATTCCTTGTTCAAATCTATAAGTGAAAAAATTATGTACTCTGTATGCCTGAAAGGTTAGGTTTAGATTAGGTTTAGGTATATATGAGAAGAATTAATTCGTTTTCCTCGGTTAACAGGTTAAGAATTTGCAAATAAAAGAAATATTGAAGCATACTCTTCCGTGATCCTAATTTTCATGCTTCGAATGCCTCTGGATTTTTTTAATCGCAAACTGAGAGAAAGAGAGAGAGAGAGAAAACTGCGGATTTAAGGAGATTCAAATTTTCGTCGAACAAACCTAAAGAATGTAAAGTAGAAGTTCCTTTCATCTATTAAATTTATTACGTACGTTGTATGGAACATTTTGAAATCTTACTTATGGAGCAATTTAAGTAAGTCGAAGATGACAACTTTTTGTTGCTTTTTCACTAACTATATGTTTACAATAAATAGTATATGTACATTTTTAGATTGATTAAAAATTTTATCAGTACAATCATGATAATCATACCTCGCACACATGCGCGTATAGAATTTTTCTTCAGTAAGTAATCAAAATACTTTTATAAGCCACTTCGTGTAACCTGAGTATTTTTAGATCTGTAAATTTCCCATAAGTGCATAAAAATCCACAGTCTAGCAATGAGAAAGCAGAGAGAGAGAGAGAGAGAGAGAGAG